TGTCTCTACCAAAAAAAAAAAAAAAAAGAGTGAGAACCCGTCTCTACTAAAAATTGAAAAAGTAGCCCGGCATTAAGATGGGCACCTGTAGTCCCAGCTATGGGAGAGTCTGAGGCAAAAGAATTGCCTGAGCCTAGGAGTTTGAGGTTGCGGTGAGCTATGATGATGTAACAGCACTCTAACCTGGGGCAACAGAGTGAGACTCTGTCTCAACAAAACAAAACAAAACAATAAATATCTGAAGCTATCCCCTCTTCTCCATTTGAACCAGAAATTTCACATTTGCCGGGTTTACACCCCAATGTCAAAAGCTCTCTATTTACCAAACAACATGGTCTTACAACTGCTTTAGAATACCTTCATCAACACCCTGGCTTTGCACCTGATACCTAAATGTATGTAATTTAGGAGTTTTGATTTAATGGTGTTAGTGAAAATGCACAAGGATTAAAATATGATGGAATACCTGAGATAACTGGAAAGTCGAGGTAGCACACACCATGAAAGTCAGAAAGCGCAATAAGCCCCTAGAAAGAGAGACGTGTTTCTAGGGATTTACTCTTCTGCCGTGGTAAGTCTGATAAGAGGGAATGAACTTGGGAAACTCGAGATAATATAATGTCGGAACTTTTCTGAAAACATTTCTGAGACAAAGTTGGGGTCACACACCCTGCAGATTTAACGTAGATAATAAAATCTCTTGTTACAGTGAGTCAGATTGATCTTGGTCTCCCTGAAGTTAGCTTGAAACCCAAAGAGGCCAAGGCTGCCAGGGTTGGGAGCGCTATTGTTAGCCCAGGGAAAGACCAACTTACTACTCTAATCTTTAAGTGATTTTAAATATTCTAAGATTTCCTAACTCCTTCCCTCTAAAATTAATTCTCAAGAACAAGATGGTTAAAAGGAGATCATTTTCAGAGGCCTTCGGCAAGTATTTCCTGTACTTTATATGTTATGGTGTGAAAAGCAACAGGCTGCATTGAGAAGGAACACTATATGACAATGTATTTTCAGGCAAAGCTAGGCGGGGGTTGTTTAGTGAACTAAACATTGCTGAGAATGATGGTGATAAATGATACTTTCCTTTAAAGTTTATAGACAAGGATTGAATTGTATCTTTTGCAAAGAAGAGGCAGGATTAATTGTGAATCCCTTATCGTTGCCTAATGAGGTAGGATGCAATAGTCTTTGGTTTAGAAGTTCTGGGTTTGAGTCCTAGCCCATGACTTTGGGCTGAGCCCTTGTCTCTCTTATATATAAAATAGGAATAATGGGCTCGGTGCCTTGTAGCTCAAGTGGCTAAGGTGCCAGCCATATACATCAGAGCTGGTGGGCTCGGATCCAGCCTGGGCCTGCCCCATAACAATGAGATCTACAACTAAAAAATAGCCAGGCGTTATGGCGGGTGCCTGTAGTCCCAGCTACTTAGGAGGCTGAGGCAAGAGAATCGCTTAAGTCCAGGAGTTGGAGGTTGTTGTGAGCTGTGAAGCCAGAGCACTCTACCCAGAGTGATAGCTTGAGGCTCTGTCTCAAAAAAAAAGAAAAAAAAAGTCATAAACCATGAAAGCACTATGCAAATATGTTGTTTTTTTGTTATGTTTTGTTTCATATTTGAAACAGAGTCTTTCTCTGTTACCTGGGCAACAGTGTCATGACCATAGCTACAACCTCAAACTCCTGGGCTCCAATGATCCTCCTGTCTCAGCCTCCCAAGTAACTGGGACTACATGCCACCACACTCAGATAAGTTTTCAATTTTTTTTTGTATAAAAAATAAGTCTGGGGCAGCGCCTATGGCTCAGTGGATAGGGCACCCGCCCCATATACTGAGGGTGGCGGGTTCAAATCCTGCCCCGGCCAAACTGCTACCACACACACAAAAAAATAGCCAGGCATTGTGGTGGGCGCCTGTAGCTGTGGGAGTCCCAGCTACTTGGGAGGTTGAGGCAAGAGAATTGCCTAAGCCCAAGAGCTGGAGGTTGCTGTGAGCTGTGTCGCCACAGCACTCTACCAAGGGTGACAAAGTGAGACTCTGTTTCTACAAAAAAAAAAAAGTCTGGCTGTGTTACTCAAGCTGGTCTCAAACTCCTGGCCTTCAGTGATCCTCCTGCGTTGGCCTCCCAAACTGCAAAGATTATTAAGTGTGAGCCAAAGTGACTGGCCCTACAAATATATATATTTTTTGTTTTGAGACAGAGCCTCAAGCTATCCCCCTGGGTAGAGTGCCATGGCCTCACAGCTCACAGCAACCTCCGACTCCTGGGCTCAAGTGAGTCTCCTGCCTCAGCCTCCCAAGTAGCTGGGATTACAGGCATCCGCCACAACGCCCGGCCATTTTTTGGTTGCAGCCATCATTGTTGTTTGGCGGGCCTGGGCTGGGGATTCGAACCTGCCACCTTAGGTGTATGTGGCTGGTGCCTTAGCCGATTGAGCCACAAATATATTTTTGAAAAGAGATTAATCCTGGGGCACCTGTGGCTCAAAGAAGTAAGGCACTGGCCCCATATGCTGGAGGTGGAGGGTTCAAACCCAGCCCCAGCCAAAAACTAAAAAAAAAAAAAAAAAAGAGATTAATCCTGTGCTTCTCTAAACCAAATATGATGAGAAATAATAAAAATATTACTTACAAATAGGAGCAAGACAGAAATATATCATTTTGTCAATTTCTTTCTTTATACAATTTGGAGAACTGAATAAACACTTCATGGAAAGTGGGTATTTGTAGCCAAGAGATCATTCCGAAAGAAGATTACTAGAAATGACTCTGCTTCCCTTGGTTAAGTTTTATTTTCCTAAAGGCCACTGTGAGCCTTCTGCTTATTTCTTCCCCTACTTAGATTTTAGGAAGGTCAAAGCCAAATATATAGTCCACTTCTAACAGTAGTACAGAATCTTATGGCAGAATCCTGTGGCATAACAAGTTTTACTTGTTAATATTTTTATTTTTTCCTTGCTTGTTTCTGATTCATTTTTATCCTGTTGTATACATTTCTGAAACTCAGTTAAGTTTTTTTTTTTTTTTTAACATAATAGGAAACCAACAAATCAAGCCTTCACATAGGAAAGTTTGGCATAGATTATCTGAGATGATAGAAAGTAAATACTTCTGATAATAATGAAAACAAATTTTTTTTGGAGCAGGGTCTCACTCTGTTACCCAGGCTAGAGTGCAGTGGTATCATTATAGCTTGCTGTAACCTCAAACTCTTGGGCTCAAGGAATCCTCCTGCCTCAGTCTCCTAAGTAGCTGGAACTATAGGCGCCTAACATCATGTCCAGCTAATTCTTCTTTCTTTCTTTCTTTCTTTTTTTTTTGTACAGATGAGGACTTGCTATGTTTCTCAGGCTGGTCTCAAACTCCTGTTCTCAAGCACTCCTTCCACTTCAACCTCCCAAAGGGTTAGGAACGAGCTACCATACCTGGCCGAATAATTTCATAGTTGTATAATCTAAAGCATCAAAAGGGAAAACTATTGTCAGTACCTGGAAATATGTGCCATATAGGTAAGTAATCAGGTCAACAATAATCCAAAAGATAGGAAATTGAATCACCCACTGTGCCAATTTCAACAGACCTGAAAATAGGCTGTCTGAAAACTTCAACTGTGGTTGATAAAACTTCCTTATTTCAAAACAACAAAACAAATAGCCGAAAAATTAGTTCCAGAACTCACTTGGGTGATTTGAGATCACGATGAATAATCTTATGGAGGTGCAAATAATTCATTCCACTTGCAATTCCTGTGGACCAGTCTACCAGCAATCGAGGTGTGATCTTCCTGCCAGCTCTCAAGACCTCGTAGAGTTGTCCATGGGCACAGTATTCCATGATGATACAATAACACGGGGCCTGAGTACATACACCCCTTGCAAGAAAACACAAACATGTACATAAATACACACATACATGTATACATATTCATATTTTAAGAATAGTTAATACATTTAATAAAAAACAATTCTGTCTCAATTGTTCCTAAAATGTATATAAACAACAGTTTCTGATTCTTAACATTAAAACTTCTCTAGGTTACAGATTTCTCTGTTATCCACACAGACAATTTTTGTTCCCTCCAGCTATCTATATGTAGTGCTGTCTGCCATCTGGTGACTTTTCTGGAGGACTGTTCCATTCTAGAACAAAGAACACCCTTTCCTGAGGTTTGTGTAAGCTGGATAATGTGTTGTTTTAGATCATTAAAAATAATTTAATCTCCTTTTTAGACTTTGAGAGTGGTGTACAGAAAGAGAATTCAAACAAAATATTGCTGTTTTTAATGTTATTTGTTGAATTTTAAATTATTCAAATTTAACTAACTGCACTGAGGACCAAAACAAAGAGTCAATCTGCTGTCTTACAGAGTCTTTATTTTTGTTTTTT